CGGAGACGTAACAATACTTTATCTGTTATTTTCACTATTGTATCTATGGGTTTAGTCGATTTTATCATCCTCGTAACCAAGATAAAATTAGGAAATAGATATAAATTATGATTTTTTTGTTCTAGAATAACTCCAAATTATAACAAGAAATCATAAATATTTAGTCTAAATAGCTTAAATCTCATAACATTATACGTCTATATATATATATAATTTTTATTTTATTGAACTTTCACCCATGTCTAACTAACATTACATTTATTTGATAGAAAAACATACTTAATTTTTGTGAGTTTTTTTTCAAATTTGGTACACTGATAGATCTTTTCAAACAACAATTAGGAGTTTCATTTGGTATAAATATAAGCCAAATGTGCAAAGTTATTCAACAAGAACTGCTCAATTTTGACCAGAATTTTTGCATGCCTATGCAAAAAGTCACGTGAACTATTGGTGTAACATTTTTACTACAGCTTTACCTAAGAGTAAAAATGAACCATTTTCAGTTTTTTGTAATTAGGATTAAAAACGGCTGATTTAGAGCAGCAAAACTATGAGATGAAGGAAGTGCAGCTACATAAATATTGGTTAGGCTAAGCAAACTAGATTAGCAGTCTCTAGCTAAAGTTTTTTAAAGAATCATATGGGTGCATGGTTATTGATTATTCAATGCCACCTTTTCGGCACAAATTTTGTAAATTTTTGAAATTATCCTAATTAAAGATCGTTTAGCATCAGGATATTTGCTTAAGCAGTTAGTATAAATAATGATGCTTGATATAGCTGTACCAATTGCATGCGGTTATGAGAAGAAACTGTTAACCTAAATTTCATGGCATTACTATAAATGTTTTAGAGGAAAAACTACCATCATATATTTTAAAGAATCTGTTTGGTTCTGTACAATAAAGATCTGTTTAGAATAATAGGGTTGTGATCCTAAAGAGTGTCACTTTCTTACTTGCTGTGGTTTGTTGGTGTGTATTGACAAAAAGTCATGATATCTAATAAATAAACACCTTAGGTGTGAAAAAAAGATGCGGCAAAAACAGGATAGAGTGTGCGACTGAAATCAAAATTGGCAGCCAAAGTGGTAGCTACACTTATAACATTGATGAGAACTTTACAGCAAATATTCATTCATTAATTAGCTAAGCTGCATGTTTTATTTTACCCACCATCATGTCCCAAGTTGAACAAAAAATGCAGCCTGGCTAACTAACGAATGAATATTTGCTGTTAAATTCTTATCAATGCTGTAAGTGTAGCTACCAGTTAGGTCATCCAGTTTAAGTCACACCCAATTTTTTTTTTCTGCCTACACCTTTTTTATCACACCTAATGTGTTTTTGATTAGATTTGAATTATAATCTACAATGTGATACCAAAGTTCTTGGCATATATTCATAAAATAGTAGTTCCGATACAGTACCTTACCTCTACTCACAGATATAGCTATTCTTGTTCAGTGCTGCTCTCTATATGCAAACATTTTTTTGCATACCACAAGACTTGAGCTCCCATATACCCCAGGATCAACATAGTTCAACTGCATCTTGCATGTAAATCACCATGCAACTACCCTCCACCAATAGGAGTGTGACACACCCTCTTGACGTACATGATTTCCTCTAATTGATTCTACTGAACTATCACTTCTCATTTGGCAGTGCTCGTGTCAAGATGTTTTTCATTGTGCTCTTTAATCCTGTTATTTTTTTAAACTTAGTGAACTTTGAAAATTTTTTATTCAACTGTTTTTGTACTTTATTCTAAAGTTAAACATAAGGATAACTTTTTTTGCCCTCTTTTTCATTTCATTATTTTAACACTATTGTGTTTGGTCATTCTTCTTTAACAATGAATTCCGAAGTTCAAGTTACCATTTTGGAAGTAATCCCATTTACCAGCACACTTAACAAGCTGCAGGTGGGGAGAACTTGACTATGGAATTATCGGCTCTCCTTTGATGCGAGATTGATTAGTATATGAGTCAACCTTCTCGTGTTGCCCATTTTCCACCTGAACATGTCGAACCTGTTTGGAATGACAAGAAATTTGACAGCCTTTTCACTCCACCTGGTTTTGTTGTGTCTTCCTATACACTACTGTGGAATCAGCTAGGCCTAATATGGGTTTTTTTTTTGACGTGATTTCTCAGATGTGTTCTGTTTTAACCATTTCCCCTCCTCTCAGTATTTTGTGTTTCCCCAGATTTTAAGCATGATGGTGCTAGCATCCCTCGCCCTTCATGGGCTTCGTATTAGTTTGCTTTAGCCTACCATCAGACTAAATTTTCGTTTCTTCTCATTAGTTGGAATTGATTTTACCTATGTGGGAGGTGGATCCTGATCATCCTGTTCATTTAACCCACATCCATTTTTCTTGCCTTCATTTTACCCTATCAACTCTCCTACAGTACTTGTCCACTATCCATCTTCTTCCTGAGGCACTACACTGAGATCCTTAGGGTTTTTCAGGAGATACCCTCTCCCTGTTTACTTCCATGTTGGCACGTTTGTCTTCTTCGGCTCTTTCCTTACACACATAGTTTCTCTGTTGTTGGGATCTTCTGGGGAGAGACAATGTATTGTCACAAATTTGTTTATCACATACTTATCTTCGGGACTTACGAATGGACACTTTTCTCCAACTGTCTGTTTTTGGATATATTCCTGAGACATTAGAATCTTGTGTGGAAACAATGAGACAGCACTTGACCAATTCATCTTTGGTTGATTGTTTGTCTCATTCAGAGCCTAGACAATCCCCTGTTACTGTTTCCCCTCCTCCTCCTTCCCAGTCCTTATCAGTTCCTTCCCCTAGGGGTTCCTCCACTTGTGGTATTATTCAATGCAGATGGTCATGTCACTGATAGTACAAGTCCAGTGGGGGCTTGCTTAACCAATTTTGTTCCTCTATGGGAAGATTTTGCCACAGATCTTTGAGTTAATCGGGTATTATCTGAGGGACTTATCATTCACTTCCTTTCCTTTCTTTTGTTATTTCAGGTACTCGTATCTTTTCTGTTGCCTTAGGATCCTACCACCAGTCAACGTCTGTCTGAGACAGTACAGAATCTTCTTTCCCGGAAATCCATCAAACCTGTTCCTCATCCTTCTCCAGGTTCTTATTCCAGGCTGTTTGTGGTACCCAAGAAAACTGAGGAATGGTGGCCTGTGATCGATCTGTCCCACCTCAATCAATTTTTGGTTCTACCCTACTTTATCATGGAATCTTT